TATAAATTTAAAATTTATTATCTATATTATTATTTGTTTCTACAAACAAAATATACAACCATCGTCAAATGAAATATACAACATGATATCCAAATAGTAATAAAAATAAAACATTATGATATATTTCCTTTTATACTATACTATTATATTATTTTATTATTTAATTCTTCAAACAAAATATACAATTTGATTTATACAAAATATTAAATCCCGTGCTAGCACGGGTCATGATCTAGTTAAGTGATTTAAAGGGTAGAAAAGATCCCCGCATGTAACTTTTGGTGATTTCTAAGGTCACTCATCATGAATATAGAGTTTCAAGAGCTACAAAGTCTCCTTCCAATCACTTAAGTTAGTACCTACAAGAACATATATGAATTCTTACGGATAATCCTACGAAAATTTTGGTAGGAAATTTTTATATTTTGATGGATGGAGGAGAGAATCTCTGGTGAAAGCTTTCTTCTGGATTGATTGAGCGAAAGCTATAAGCTAGTAAAACCCATATGAACCGTTCGGCTCTAATACCATGTAGGAAAATCCAAGAAAGGATTTATTTGAAGCTAATGATAGAGAAAAGATGATAAATTGAAATAGCTCAATGCAAAAATATAAAGAGAGGAAGAATAACTTAGGTTGTCACCAAGAACACTGAGACTTTAGATTTGATCTCATAAAATGGGAGGAGAGTTGCTTAATGTGGCAAATCTCTAGGTTAATCACATTGTTCTCATTACATGACTATATAAGAGACTACTTGCTTAGATAACCTAATTATATGGGCTTGTACTTCTCATGAGACTCTTCTTTTTTTTTTTTTTGTCAATCAAGCACCATATATTAATTTACGGAAAATAACTCTCTTCTAGAGAGAGCCAATCGGGTACCGTCGAACTTACATGGGAAAAACAGAACCCGCGACCTCTTGCACATTTCGCAAGATGATCGGCGGAAGTATTCTCACTACGAGGGATATGTTTCAAACTAAACGAAGAAAATAAATCCCTGTAATACGAAAAATCCAACAACTCTGTAGAAAACGTGGGCCATGCGTCCGGGTTAGAAGTCATTTCTAAAAGATCCGAGCAATCCGTCAAAATGAGTATGCTCGTCAAAGAGATCGCCACTAAGCACTTCATCGTCCACAATAGAGTCTCCAGTTCCGCATGAAAGGGGGAAAGACTTCTACGCGAGCCTTTTAATCCTAAATGCAGCAATCTTCCTCCACAATACACGAGCCAGCCATGCCCACTCCTAGCTTCCGCCCCATGCCAGGACCCATCAATATAGCAAACCGGTCTATCTTCGAGAATTGGCATTACTTGCGGGCTATGTTCCAACGCAGCCTGGGGATCTTCTTGGTGATTTGCTCGCCTCCATGCCCCTTCTTCTTGAATTGCTAGGTCTAAAGTTTCCTGAGGTGGTACACACAAATTCTCAAAAATCTTTCGATTGCGCGCCTTCCAAATATACCATATGATCCATGGAAATACTCGTAGGCTCTCTTCATCCGCACCCACCTCTTTACCCCGCCAATACAGATAATCTAAATTATTGTAGAGGGAAGGTGAGGGAAATAAGTCTGGAGAAGATGGAATATTGGAGAGAGCCCAGACTTGTCTCGCAGGAGGGCATTCAAAGATCAAATGATTGATTGTTTCTTCTGCTGCACCACATCTTGAACATCCTTTATCTCTACCAATATGGCGATAAAATAGTCGTTGGCACGAAGCCAAACAACCAGTCACACATTGCCACACGAAATGTTTTAATTTTCGCGTAGTTTTTAACTTCCAAGCTTGCGCCTTTAGTGTCGTAACACTAGGTCCCTGAGAAGGGTGGTCGCAAACAGGGCGAGAAATATTTCTCGCGGTCTCATATCCAGTTTTGACGGTGTAATTACCAGACTTTGTCATTGTCCAACAATATCCATCACTCGAGACTTTAAGGCTCGGTTTAATCCCTAATATGAGGCTAATTTCTTCTGGAGGGAACAATTCCCGAAGACGATCCAACTTCCACTGTTTAGTTCCGAAGTCTATCAAAGTGTTGACATATGTCAAAGGGTCTCTTTCACTCGATAGTCCCTTAGGTGGCCATGCTGGAGAATCTGGGATCCAAGGATCGGTCTAGATACAGGCTCCAAACCCCGAGCCAATGGTCTTACAGATTCATAATTTAAGAACGTCTTTGGCGGCCAGCATGCTTCTCCAACCATACGATGGTCTATTTGAGACAGTGATCTCTAGCGGACTAGAATACCGGAAGTAACGTCCTTTAAGGACCCTACTAAGGAGTGATTCCGGGAATCGTAATAATCTCCATAATTGCTTCGCCAAAAGTGCGAGATTAAAATCTTCCAAAGACCTAAATCCTAACCCTCCTTCTGATAGTTGAGTACAAATTTGGTCCCAAGCTATCCAGTGTATTCCTCGACTCTCTGCTTTGTTACTCCACCAGAAGTTGGCAATCGCACTAGTAAGTTTAGAACAAATTGCTTTTGGTAGTAGAAAGCACGACATTACATATGTCGGAAGAGCTAGTGCTTGTGATTTAATTAGGACTTCTTTTCCGCCTTTAGAAAGGAATTTTGATGACCACGAGTTCACTCTAGTGTGTAATCTATCTCTCACAAACGCGAAGACCTGGGCTTTTGATCCATGGATTTTTTCAGGAAGACCTAAATATGTTCCCATCCCGCCTTCACTTGAAATCCCAAGAATCGATTTGATTTCTTGCCGTACGGGGGGTGGGACCTCATTACCGAACATAATGGATGATTTAGTTAGATTAACCTCTTGCCTAGATGCCCCGCCATAAGAGCGGATGATATCGATAACTTCTTTACTCTGTTCGGCATTAGCCTGACAGAAAAATAAGCTATCATCAGCAAACAAAAGGTGTGAGACACGGGGGCTCGCATGAGAAATTCGAAGCCCCTGAATTTTGCCTTCCCTTTCTGCCATTCTAATCTGAGCGATAAGAGCTTCCGTACACAAAATAAATAGGTACGGAGAAATTGGGTCCCCTTGACGAATGCCTCGAGATGGTCTAATTCGGCCTTTTGGATCGCCATTAATCAAAATCCGATAGGAAACTGAGGTAACGCATTGCATTATCCAGTCTATCCATCTATGGTTGAATCCCATCTTTTCCATCAAAGCTCGGAGGAATCCCCATTCTACCCTATCGTAGGCCTTACTCATATCCGTTTTTAGTGCCATAAACTTTTTTCGATTTACCGGATTGGAACGTAGAGCATGGAAGTTTTCTTGGGCGATCAGGATATTATCAGTAATTAATCTCCCTGCAACAAATGCAGATTGGGTCTCGGATATTAAGTCTGGAAGAAATCTCTTTAGGCGCAAGCTCAAGATTTTTGAAATGACCTTATAGCTTACATTACATAAGCTGATAGGACGAAAACCTGACATTACGCGCGGTCTTTCGCCTTTCGGGATAAGACAGATATTGGTCTCATTTAGCTTCCCGTCAAAAATACCGGAGCTAAAGAAATTCTTCACCATAATGGTGAGATCGCCTTTTATTATTTCCCAAAATCGCTGGAAAAAAAAGAGCAGTCATCCCGTCCAGGCCTGGGGCCTTAGTCGGATTCAAGGAGAATAAGGCTCGCTTGACTTCTTCTTCGGTGACTTCTTTGACTAAGAACTCATTCATAGCTGGGGTAACTGATGGTGATATGTCTCTAAGGGCGGAGACCGGATCTACCGGGTTAGATGATGTAAACAGATTTTCAAAATAACCCACCGCGACTCTTTCGATGTCATCTTCATTATCAACCCACGTCCCATTATCATCTAGAATGCCTAGAATCTTGTTTTTCGCCCTTCGTTGTTTCGTCAAAGCGTGAAAATATTTTGTGTTTTTATCACCCAACGCCAGCCAATTTTGGCGACTCTTTTGGTACCAAAATATTTCTTCATCTGTATAGGCATCGCCTAATTTCTTTTTGAGCTCCCGAAGTTCATCCAAAGAAGCGTTATCATCAGCATAATTTTCCTCAATCTTATCATGAAGTTCCTTAATAAGTATCTCCGAATTTGTTCGGGTTGATTTCTTCCATATGGAAATTACTCTTTTGCAGTTCTGAATTTTTTTCATGATGGGCCGATCTTCGCGTAAGCCTACTCCGCTCCACCCTTCCAAAACTGCTTCGTTGAGCCCGGGTTTCCCAATCCATCTTTTGTCAAACATGAATTTCCTCGAAAATTTGTTCGGACTTGATTGTATTGATGCGAGGAGTGGTCTATGGTCCGATCCCCACATTTTTAAGTACTCCACATTGGTGTGGGAAAATATATTATGCCATTCTTCGTTTCCCATGGCTCTATCTAACCGACATCTGACCCTACCATTAGTTCGTTGACCAATCCATGAGAATTGATTGCCTTGAAATGGAAAATCAATAAACCCACAAGCATTGATCATAGCACGAAAGGGTAGAAAAGAGGCTTCCGATCTTTTTTTCCTCCTCTTTTTTCATGGTTTCCTGTGATCTCATTAAAATCGCCGATTATAAACCACGCCTCGGATCTTGTTATACCAATTCGAGTCAATCTCTCCCAAACATAATCGCGATTTGGAACAGCAGGATCCCCATAGACAAACGTCATAAAAACTCGATTACCGTTAATGATAGTTTCGATGTCGATCAATCGATCATCTAACAACAAAAACTTAACCGGATATTCCTTAGAATAAAATAAAGCTAAACCTCCACTAGTACCATCTGGTTCAACAGTTTGGAGATTGTCAAATCCTAGATCCACTTGCAAAGTTTGCAGATACATTTTGTCATTCTTGGTCTCTGATAAAAACATGAAACCTGGAGAGTACATACGACACAACTCTACCAGTCGACGAGAAGTTTCTTTAGCTTTCGCCCCTTGACAATTCCAAGCTAAAGTCCTCATATTTTTGTTCCGGAGGGAGATTGATACCCCACCGTACTAATGTTGAATCGAGTAACCTTGCACTGAAATAATAGGGACACTTCATTAAGAAGGAAATAAACTACATTTCTATTGGTCCTTTTCTTTGACGAATCCGCCTTGCCTTGATAGAAATATGGTAATAGTCTCTCCACGGTGGAGGAAGTTGATAATTATCATTTCCAAATGGGTGACTCTGCTATTTGGGCCAGACCAAGAGAAATGGCTTGCAAATGGGCCAGGAAAATGTACACCACTTGAACTCAATTTAAACTTAAAGAAAGGGCCGACGACAACAAAATAGAGGATGTCCCAGGCCCATGAAAGGGTTAGGGTTTTCCAAGCTGGATCATTGAGAGACGAGGTTGGTGTGGCGTCGTTGATGAATCGGAGCGCGTCTCTGCTCCGGTGAGAAATATCACGGTGGCAGGAAGATAGCAATTGGAACAGATCTCTAGTGTCACGGTCGAAGTGGGAATAGATCCGATGATCGCCAGATCGTAAGAGATGGAGTTCCGGTATGCAAAATAAAGATTGGTTATTGATGAGAAGTTTCTCTCCATGAAGGAGGATGTCATGAACGACTCGGGATCTGGTCGGGGCGAGAAGAGAAGCTTGAGCCAACCCTTTGGTAACCCGTTTTCCTTCGATGACGTCTTCGTTAACCTCATGGGAATGTGCATCCCAAAGACCAGACTCCATCACCATAGCTGGAGAATCAAGTTCATCCGAACCCACAACAAGATAACAAAATTTCTGAGGATTTGAGAAAGATCTCGGATTTGTAATCCGGAATGAATAAGTGAACTTAGCAGCAAACGTGGAGTCATTCACATCCTCTTCATCTTCTTCAAGAAACATGTCATACCAAATCTTTTGAAAGTTCTTCCCCTTACACAGATTCTCTTTTGGGGGATTAATCTGTGGCAAACGCTTTAGTAAAGCATTGTAGGTACTTAGCACAAGGCTAGAGGTGGAGATGAAACACTGCCATGGCAGGAAATCCTTCAAAGGAGAGACATGAAAATCTTCACTTAGCAGATCTGAGAGATAGACTACGAGTAGATTTAAACAAGTTTCCATTAAACTTAGCACAAAGCTAGAGTCTTTAGATGAATCTCTAGGTGGGGAGAATCTCCAGGAGAGGTGAAGTCAGATTCTGGGGTTTGACAGAAAGAGACTGGAGAGGGAAGAAGGGTAGATAGAGGAGATGAGTCTTCATCGGAGAAGACAAGTAAACTCAGATCTGAAATCTAGATTCAAAAAAATTCACAAGGACGAGCATTGGGAGACGTGCCCGAGAGAGAGAGGCTCGCATGCTCCTTTAATATCTTTTAACGTTACTATTCCCAATTTGTTCCAACATATGATGACTCTTCTAAAAAATTCTTCTTGGGCTTCTTATGAGGCTTTAATACTCCCCCATAAACTTGGTGTGGGGTGAAAACAACACAACAAGTTTGAATGACTTTGGTGTGGGAATACTCTAATACGAACAACCAGCGACTGATTTTATTTTAAAACATGTTGTCTGTTTCTCTTCCCCTTCTTTAATTTTCAGTCGCCGGATTCAATCGCAGCGAAGCGATACATAAAAGAACGGGCCTTAATAAGTAGGTTTAATTTCCATGGAGTCATTTGTCCAAACTTATATACTAGCTATTCATGTATTTTGATTAACTTCAAAAAATTTGTGTCGATATACGCGGTAATCATCTAACGTTCAATCTTGTTTTAGATACCCCACAAAACATTTCGAAAAAATTCCAATCCCCGCCTCTTGCCAAGCCGCTAAGTATGGAGCATCAATTGGGGTTATTTTGCCGGTCGCTAACCAGATCATGATGCATGGACAACACATATGCTAGAATTTTCCAGAGTAGCCCGAGATCTACATGACATTTCAAATGGACCAATGTGCGACACGTCACGTCATAACGCTCTAACATTTACAAGAAGGCTCTGGTGGTCGCTTTCTTGTACATCCCGACGATGGGTAATAATATACTTCATCCAATGTCCTAGGAGTTCAGGTTTACGATACACGGATACACCGTAATCGGTTGCTTAAAGTCCTAAGACTAGGGGATCCGACTAAACTACCCAAAACATGGTTTTAATTGAATCTATAAACATTCTTTCAAAAAATTAATAATCTAGTTCCAAACAACATCTTTTTTGTTATAAATCACATATTGGATGGACTCCATAACCGTGGGCCTAATCCATATTCTAGAAGGCCCATGTCCATGTTCTAGAAGGCCCATGTCCATGTTCTAGAAGATTCTCCCAATGACGGTCTAAGTTAGTCTTAGTGGGCTTTGGGCTTTAGGGTTTCCTAGCCCAATGGGGATTTGTCTCCCCTATTGTGTATATAAATAAGTTGTAACCTCATTCATTAATCAATAAGAAACACGAGATTCATAACACGTTATCAGCACGACTTGCTCTTAACGAAAACCCTAAAAACCCTAACCCTAAAAATCGCAAAATACTGTTCACGCCGCTACTATTCATCGCCGTTACTGTTCATCGCGGCTACTGTTCATCGCCGCTACTGTTCATCGCCGCTACTGTTCATCGCGGCTACTGTTCATCGCGGCTACTATTCATCGCCGCTACTGTTCATCGCGGCTACTATTCATCGCCGCTACTGTTCATCGCCGCCACTGTTCATCGCGGCTACTGTTCATCGCCGCTACTGTTCATCGCCGCTACTGTTCATCGCCGCTACTGTTCATCGAGGTACTGTTTGCGGTTCGTTGCAGCAGCGTGAGTTACTGAGGTCTTTAGCTCCCAGTTCATTACCATACAACCCCATAAGGTGAAAGGTAACATCAAAACCCTAAAGCTAAAGAACCAACAATTGAACTTGAAAGTTAAGCAAAGAGAAACCCTAAAACGAATGATGATTGATTAAGTGATTGCTTTGCTTGTTTGCTCGATTGCTTGACTTGTTTAGGTTGCTAGAAAGCTTGTTATTGTTTATCCTAAACTCGCAAATCGAAAACATCTTAACCTAGAATCCGAAACCCTAAAAGACATAAACCCTAAATCGAAAACACTCTAATCGGATCAAAACCCTAAATTCTAAATCACGTTTGGTTGAGGTTGCTTAGGGCGTTTTAGTTTGATTGTTTCTGTGGATGCATGCATGAATTGTTAAAGAGATAAAATCCCTCATGTTGCATAAACCCTAAAACCCTAAATCCTAAATAAAATAGAGAATCTTAAAACCCTAAATCCTAGGGATAATAAGAAATCTTAAAATCTTAAATAAAATAGGGAATCTAAAATCCTAAATAAAATAGGAAATCTTAAAACCCTAAAACCCTAATCAAAATAGGAAATCTGAAAACCCTAAAATCATAAGTGAAATAGGAAAATTAATCCTAAAGTAAAGAGGAAAGTAAATCCTAAAAGGAAAAGGAAAAGTTAATCCTAATTAAAAGAGGAAATCTAATCCTAAGCAAAAGAGGAAAGTCAAATCCCTAAGTAAATCGATTCATGGTTCGGTCTCAAATACCGCATGACACTAACGATTACATGATTTTGACTCAAAACTTTTCCTTGTAGATGTCAAATTATAACTTGTATTTTACTGCCCGAAATCTCTTAGGAGATAATTATTTAAAATGGGCAATGGATACTAAGATTATCCTAAAGTCAAAAGGACTTGGTAAATGTATCTAATAAGGCAATAATGCCAAGAGAGAAAGATAGATACAAGGCAATATTAGCCACCATCTTATTGAGAGTCTCATAATCCAGGACTATAAGTCCGTGGATGAGTCTATTGCTAGATGAGCAAAATAATGACTTACTGATAAAAACAGTGAATTACGACCTCATAGATTAACCCTATTACCTAATGCCAATAAGGCCGCAGAGGATAAGAAAGAATCCAAAGAATCTAACCACGTCTAAAGTGATAGACCACACGGCCGTGACCGTGGTGGATGGAAAGGACGTGGTTGTGGCCACTATAACTCATCCGGCCGTGGGAACCACTATAACCGTGGATGTAGACCCAATTCCGGCCGTGGTCGAGGGCGAGGACGATGTGGTATTTCCAAACCACAACACTCGACCAAATGAGTATGCCATAGATATGGAATGGGAAACCATTGGGCTAAGATATGTAGGACTTCCAAACATCGTTGTGACCTCTATCAAGAGAGTGTAAAAGGGAAGAATCCTAAAGCCCATTTGGTATATAAAGATGGTGAACATGATCAAGATGATCTAATAGAGTATGAAACTTCTGATTGCATAAAAGAATCAAGTTGATAAATCTTACTTCGACATCAAAACCTCTATGTTTTCCTTTGCATTTTATGTGTTCATTGATTGTTATTTGCTTGAATTTATATTATTTTATGTTTAGAACATGATTCTTGTCCATATAAGAAATGGCCGAGGACAAGAACATAATTGTGGTGGATAGTGGAGAGCCACACAAAAGACAAGAGATATTTTCCTAAATCTCATAATAAAAATGCCAATATTAGCACCATAGCGGGTATAGCTAGTCTTATTGAGGGCCACGGTCAAGCCCATATACTTTTATCAAAGGGCACGCATCTTGAACTAAGCGATGCCTTGTTTTCACCCAGCTCAAAAAGGAGCTTATTGAGTTTTAAAGGTATAAGATTGGATGGTTTCCATATTGAAACAAAGGGTGAAGGGAACAAAGAATTCCTAAATATAATTGAGATCACCAAAGGACATAAGAAAGTCCTAGAGACTATACCCGCATTATCCACTGGTCTCTACTATGCTAAAATCGATATGATCGAAGCTAATATGGCAATGAACAAAAAGTTCATCGAGAAATTCACTTTATGGCATGACCGGCTTGGCCATCCGGGTCATAGTATGATGCGTAAACTAATAACTAATTCAAAGGGGCACACCCTAAGAGAGAAAAGAGTTATCCCTAAGAATCTCACGTGTGAAGCATGTTCACAAGGGAAACTCATTATAAGGCCATCACCGGCTAAGGTAAATAAAGAGACCTTAAATTTTCTGGAAAGGATAGAAGGGGATATATGTGGACCAATACACCCACCATGTGGGACGTTTAGATACTTTATGGTCCTCATTGACGCATCGACAAGATGGTCGCATGTTTGTCTCCTATCTACTAGAAACCAAGCGTTTGCTAGGTTATTGGCCCAGATAATAAGACTGCGAGAGCCCATTTTCCAGATTTTCCGCTTAAGACTATACGTCTAGACAATGCCGGTGAATTCACGTCCCAAGCGTTTAATGACTACTGTATGTCCATGGGGGTAAGTGTGGAACATCCCGTGGCACATGTACATACTCAGAACGGATTAGCGGAATCCTTCATTAAACGAATTCAATTGATAGCTCGACCATTACTCATGAGGTCGAAGCTTCCAGTAGCCGCTTGGGGACACGCTGTTTTACATTCTTCAGAACTCATACGCATAAGGCCATCTAGTGAACATAAATATTCACCATCCCAATTACTCATGGGTCATGAGCCAGACATATCCCATCTAAAGACTTTCGGGTGTGCCGTATATGTACCGATTGCACCACCACATAGAACAAAGATGGGACCTAAAAGGAGGATGGGAATATATGTTGGATTTGATTCTCCCACCATTATTAAGTATCTAGAGCCAACTACGGGTGATCTATTTAAGGCTAGATACGCGGATTGTCATTTTAATGAATCCGAATTTCCTACTATAGGTGGAGAGACGAACAAGCTGGTCAAAGAAATATTATGGAATCAAACATCCTTAAAATTGGCAAGATCCTCGGACTCTGATGTATGATTCAGAGGTCCATAAGATAATAAATTTGCAAAAGCTAGCTAATGAATTGCCAGATTCTTTTGATGACCCAAAGAGAGTTATATAAGCGTACATACCAGCTTGTAATGCACCAGTACGTATTGATGTTCACAAGGAACACAATCAAATTGCTACAGAGTCTAACGCACGTAATAAAGGTGGTAGACCAATAGGTTCCAAAGATAAAATCCTCGGAAATTAAAGAAAGGTGCAATAGGAACCGAGGTTATTAAGGAAACCACCCTAGACATGGAGATAAGGCCGGCCGGCTCTAAGGTACAGGTACCATATAATGTAGCTTGGGACGCCAAGCTGCAAAGTATTAAAGGTCCTGACCATAATAAATCTCAATCGATGATATCATGTCTGGAACATAATGGAACATATAAAAAATGTCGACATAAGATAATTTTGCGCACAAGGTAGCAACTGAAATAAATGAGGATCAGGAGCCCACGTCTATACTAGAGTGCACTCAAAGACTTGATTGATTAAAATGGTACAAGACCATAAAACGTGGAGCTAAGAATCATTAAAATGGTACAAGACCATAACCAGTAGGACACAAGTGGGTCTTTGTGAGGAAAAGAAATGAGAATAATAAAGCGTGAGATATAAGGCACGGCTTATAGCACAAGGATTCTCACAAAGACCGGGGATAGATTATGAAGAGACATACTCCCCTGTGGTGGATGCTAAGACATTTAAAATTTTGCTAAGTCTGGCTATATATATAAAAGAGAAAGACTTGATTTGCGGCTAATGGATGTAATGCCCGCATATTTATATAAGTCCACTGGATAATATATATGAGATTACCAGAGGGTATTGAGCTCAAAGATAAAGATAAGAAAGGGTCTCGGGACCAATACTGCATAAGGCTGAACAAATCGCTTTATGGACTGAAACAAAGTGGGCGCATGTGGTACAATAGATTAAGCGATTACCTAGTCAGAGAAGGTTATAAAAATGATCCCATCAGTCCATGTATCTTCATAAAGAAATTTGCAAACGATGGGTTTGTGATAATAGCAGTATATGTGGATGATTTGAACATCCTTGGAACCTCTGGGGAAATCGCCCAAACAGTCGAATATCTAAAGAAAGAATTCGAGATGAAAGACCTAGGCAAGACAAAATTCTGTTTGGGATTGCAACTTGAGTACGTGAATAATGGAATCCTTGTGCATCAAAAGGCATATACTGAAAAAGTACTCAAGAGATTCAATATGGACCAGGCCCACCCATTGAGCAGCCCAATGGTGGTGAGAAGCCTCGGATTGGATAGTGATCCATTCGGTCCAAAGAAGGACGAGGAAGAAGTTCTCGGTCCTGAAGTGCCATACCTCAGTGCCATAGGAGCGTTAATGTACTTGGCTAGCCACACTAGACCAGACATATGTTTTGCCGTGAACCTCCTTTGTCTAAATTTAGTTCATGATCAACCCAAAGGCACTAGAAAGGTTTGAAGGAAGGTTTGGTTAAATTTTAAATTTTATTCTTCCTATGTTTGTTTATTTGGGTTTTATTCTATACTGATCTAACCAAAGAAGGTCTAGTTTGCTTTGGTTTAGTTTGTTTTGCTAATGCAGGTAAGATCAGATTATGGCATGGTCAATAAATAGGAACTACGTGTGGCTTGATCCCTTCCAAGGGTACGTAGGCAGCCTTCTTCAAGGCGCAGCTACTACAACATCAAAGACCATCGTATGAGGAGACAACACAGCCTGTATCGCTCAGCTCAAGGACGGCTACATCAAGGGAGATAGGACGAAGCACATTCTACCAAAGTTCTTCTTCACGCATGACTTGCAAAGGGATGGAGAAGTTCGAGTGGTACAAGTTCAATCCTGTGACAATTCAGCCGACCTATTTTGCAAAGGGATGGAGAAGTTCGAGTGGTACAAGTTCAATCCTGTGACAATTCAGCCGACCTATTCACCAAGGCATTACCAACATCGACATTGAGGAAGCTCACGCATCAAATTGGAATGTGGAGACTTAAGGACTTACAGGGATGACCAAATCAGGGGGAGTAATACGTGCTGTACTCTTTTTCCTTCACCATGGTTTTGTCCCAATGGGTTTTCCTGGTAAGGTTTTAATGAGGCAGCATCCCCAAGCGTATTACTGAGATCCTTTTGGCATCTACACGGTTATGTCATCCAAGGGGGAGTGTTATAAATCACATATTGGATGGACTCCATAACCGTGGGCCTAATCCATATTCTAGAAGGCCCATGTCCATGTTCTAGAAGGCCCATGTCCATGTTCTAGAAGATTCTCCCAATGACGGTCTAAGTTAGTCTTAGTGGGCTTTGGGCTTTAGGGTTTCCTAGCCCAATGGGGATTTGTCTCCCCTATTGTGTATATAAATAAGTTGTAACCTCATTCATTAATCAATAAGAAACACGAGATTCATAACATTTTTAACTAATTCATTTTCGTACAATAGCAATAGAAAATCAATAAAAAAAAAACCTATATAATAAATGTGATTAGTACCGACCACTTCCTAGGATAGTGATGATTATTGTCTAATACAAATTTCATAGTTTTAGTTAGTTAATTAATAAAAGAAGAGTTGAAAAAAAAAAACACACACACGCGAAAGAAGTCAGTGACATTCGTTACATTTCCATTGGTCTTTTACATATTCACCCAAAAAAAAAAAAAAAAGGTCCTTACCATTTTCCCTTTTTCTCTCCTAACAAAAACCCTAAAAAATCATCTCTCTCTGCAGATTCAGTTTCTCGCCATCGACGACGACAAATTCACATATCTTCCTTATCGATCTCCAATCTTCTTCATCTTCTTCTTCTCAACAACAGGTCCAGCTTCTTCTCTCTGTTTCTCTTCGATTACTCTCGATTTCCGTACGCTTTCGTCTCAATTCGTGATTTGTATTCGTTTTATCGTCCTCGTGATTTTGTCAGAATCTTCTCGGATATTTCTTCAATTAGCTTCCATGTGTAGAAGAATCAGAAGCTTTGTGCTATGTCGGTCAATTCAATAATCTGTTTCCCAAATTTTCTACCTAATTCACTTTCTCTGGCTATTTCTTTGTAAGAATTCATCGTTTTGTTGATAGAAATTTCAACGTCAGTCACTGGAATTGGCCTAGAATAAAAGCTAATAGATGAGTCTCTCTATAGAAGACTGAATTTGCTCATTTCTCTGAAAAAAGTATCAATTTACCATTTTATTAACCTAATTTGTAGTTGTTGTAGCTAATATATGTGTTGTAGTTCTTAAGGAGCTAAAGAAGTCTTATGTGGATTTTCGAGTATCAAATTAACTATTTGCTTATTTCTGATATTTTTAGGGGTATTGATGTTCTTTGCAGAGATGTCTCCAGCAACAAAGTCAAAGTCTAAAGATAAAAAAACTGGAAAAGAAGCTCAAAAGGCATCACCAAAGCCTACACTTTCGGTTAATGGGAATAGCAGCTTAGGAGCTAGTGCGTATAATCCTCTTCTAGGAACATTTCAAGCTCTCGATTCAGTCTCGATAGCTTCTGTCTCACCGCTACAGTATGGTCGTTTCCGGAGTATAGATGAAGCAGATGTAAATGGGATTGAGTCTGATTCTGTTTCGAACAATGGTAGCTGCTCGGGCGAGTCAGAAGATCACAAGGAGAAAACAACTAGTCTGCCCCTCAAGCAGGAGGTGATACCAGGTGCAGACAATGACAAGCGAGAAAAAGTTCGTCAAAAGAATGAGAGAAAACATCAACGCCAGAAGGAGAGGAGGGCTCAGGAGTTGTATGAGAAGTGTAGCACATATCTCATTTCTAGAAAGCTTGAAGCCCGTATACAGCAACTTGTAGCAATGGGGATATCTCAAGAGCATGCAACAACAGCATTGATGATGAATGATGGCAAAGTAGAGCAATCTGTTCATTGGTTGTTTGACAGGGGTGAGGAAGAAATAGAGAAGCAAAGCGTTCAGAGTCCTGGGAATTTGAAAATAGACATTACAGAAGAACTAGCTAGGATTACACAAATGGAACTACAACTTAAGTGTACAAGGCAGGAAATAGAGCGTGCGGTTGTTCAAGCCGAGGGTGATTTGGACAGAGCAGAAGAAGTCTTGAAAGGCACAAAGTATGAAGAGTTTTCTGTGCCAGTGAAACTAGAAGAATCTGGTGATTCTCTTACACCCAGTAATGGTAAACTTATAGTAGGAATAGGTTATCAGAATTCGGATGCAGAAAGGCTAGAAATTCCGTCACCTGGCTTACATCCAACAAGAGATGACAAGAACTTTAACTATACAAAATCACCCTCCACAACGGAATCCGTGAACAAAATGATGGCTCAGCCTATGAAACGATCCGAACTGAAGTTAGATTGGCCAAAACCTCAGCAATCTGCTGCTTTGGCTGATAAAAAGTGGCCAAGCACGGGACAGGTTCCTTCTGCTTCTTACTCTTTGCCATCATCGCCATCGCCGTCACCTCAGCCTGCTGTGAGGGTTGAAGCTCGCTATTTAGCTAGTGGAAATGAATTTAAGAACCCCCAGCAGCAGCAGCAGCAGCAGCCAGGAAATAGAGAATCAGTCATGGTGATGAGGCAGCGGCCACAAGTTGTAAGCTCAAATCCTGTTCCAACCTCAAGCATGAGCGCACCCCCTACCAGTTGGCATCCTACAGCTAGCATAGAGATAATGAAGTCAAATGGGTTCATGCAAACACATAATATCCCTAGTGCGCGAAGCCCGAGTCCAAACCATCTGAATCCAAATCAGATCCACCAGCAACTTCAGTATCAAAACCAGAAGCGATTCACTTACAACAACCAAGTGGATCCACATGGTAGTATGGCCAGAGGGAATGGCGGGTCATGGACCAGAAACACAGCATCATCTCCACCCATATCTGCTGCGTCTTCACTGGGATTATTTTCTGCTGTTGGTTCAGCCGGAACATCAGGTGCATCCTCACCAGTAGATTGGATCTCTGGCGGTTCAGTGGACTACACAAGCATAGACTGGAGTCTAGATCAAGGTTTATCCCAAAATAGTAGAAACTGGTCAGGGTTAAAGAGCAGCAGCCACATATATGATGCAAACATGAACCGGTACAGTCCAAATGGTTCCATGGGAGGTAGAGTCAGCAACAGCAACAGTGTATCTATGGAGAATGCGGGTGTTAGTGTTGTCGTGGAAACACAACAAGCAGCTACCTCTCAAGATTGGACTTCACCATTTGAAGGAAAAGATATATTTAGCTTGTCTAGACAATATGTGTCTCCTTCTCTGTAAGAGCAGAGGAGTTACATATGGAAATGAAAGTAATAAAACAAAAAAAAAAAAGACAAGAAAATGAATGGTTTCATGACTTATATGTGTGGTTGCTTCTCACTTTGATTACTATTCGTGAATACGTCTTCTTCCTTTTAATTTATATTTAAAGCATCTTCTCCTTTAGTTGACCACTCTTTGAAACACAAGTAGTAGAAGAATTTTCAAATCAATCCTCTAAAAAATTACATCTTTGTCACATCTCATTGGAAATCCATGCGAGATTCAGAGGATGAGGTAGTAGCATTTGCGGAAGCAGGTTCTTTGTACCATTCATTAGCCTCCCGAGTCATAAAGTTTGCTTCTGCAACATGTTTACTTTGAATTAGTGTCTTACATGTATAAAATTCAGAAGAGGGAAACCACTACTTGTAAATTACAAGAGAAGGGCTTACCAGACAAGAACACATTCTTGTATTCTTCATCATCGTATATAAATTGCGGAGGATCTGGTGAACCGATACCGACAATTGTGCTTCCACTGTTATGCATTCATCTCACAAAAATTAGCACAACTACTAAGCTCGTTTATAATCTCTTATTCTAGTAAACAATACTCAGCTCATTATATATGACCTTGTACTAACTAGCATGTTAAGATGCATTTGGGAAGACAAATACAATAGTAGCATACTGTTTCCACTACATGAGCTCCTATGTCATGCACAGTATTTTGTGAAATTTCTCCATGAAGTGGAAATACCAAAAATGGCTGTAGAAAGGTATACCTCCCAGACATAAATACGGCATCATATTCCCCGCGCCCAGATGCTATTATCCGTTGCTTCAACCGTTTTAGAGACGGAAGAACTGAAAAGGCTGGCGGTTCTGGAAAAGTCAAAAGTGTAGAAAATGTAAGTCCTGGTCCATGTACCAGACAGAATTTTGAAATTTAAAGATGTATGTGACAATATGCATATAGATCGTACCCAAATCGTTTACGCAAATGCTTTGAGATACACCATTGCTGGTCACATTCTCTAGTAATGTCAAGGGATTAATGTTGCTCGTCTGATCTAGACTAAGACGCTGAAAAATAAAAAGCTTCAGTCACAAAATCCTAGAAAGCTTCTAGAAACAAAAAATATCCATCATCAGTTTCAGTGATTACTTTATAAACTTCAGCAGTGGAACATGCTTCTCGGGGCTTTATGAGTACCATCGGAAGATCGAGAGGAAAGGGTGGAGGAAGGTCTTGGACAATCTGCATTAGCCTTTAGATTAGAATTCAGCAAAATAAGCTTCATCATGTTATAACCCCCAAAGCCCAAAAGTTAAAATAGATGTAAGATGTAAGAGAACTGAATCAGAACAAGGACACTCGCAAAGTAGCAGAATGTTGCAAAGAGGCGAAAACTCTAAGCAAAACATACCTCACCTCTCCCGGTACAATAGGCAGCTCCATGCGAGAAGAAGAAAGGAATATCTGACCCAATTTCACTTGACCAATCCTGGAGTTCCTTCTCAGTGACAAGACCTCCATTGAGCTGATTTGCCGCCCAAAGTGCAGTTGCAGCATTACTACTTCCACCACCAAGTCCAGCACCGGTAGGCACCTTCTTGTCTAAATGAATCTTTACATATCAAGATAGAGTATAAGTTCAAATCGGCACAATGAAACGTAGTAAAAGAAGTCATTGGAGTATAGTGTTATTACCCAGAAGAATCTGTCACTACCGGTTTTCTTCCTGTAAAGGTTAAGTGCTTTTATAATCTGCATAGTAGGAAGTTGCAACAACACATACCAGAAGGATTAGAATAATGCTTCACCCACAGGCCACAGGGGATAATCTATTCAATAGAATAACGAAAAACCGTCTCACCAGATTTCTCCCATCAACAGGGACTCCTTGAACGTTAGTAGAAAGACGATCTTTGGATTTTGATGGCGACAATGAGAATTTAATAGTATCTCCTAAGCTAATCACCTAATCAAATGCAGAAACATAACAATGGAGACATCAAGAGACAATGAGATATAAAGCAAAGCTTAAACTCCTGAGAGGAAGAAACTTACATGAAACAAAGATGCTAAATCATGAAAACCATCTTCTCGCTTTCCGGTTATCCTCAAGAAAACATTGATCTACACAGTAAAAGACATGCCAATGATTCTTAGTGTATATAAAACAAGAGAAGATGGTTCAAGAAAATATAGATAAAGGAAGTGTCTTTAAACCTTGCAAGGAGAGAAGAGCTTAAGCCTAGACAAAGGAGCTTCTTTGTCAACATCATCACCAATCTTATTAAGCCTCTCATCAGGATCAAACACTATCTAACAATAACAATGACCCATCCACAAACATCAAGCTCAAATTGTGAATTCAAATCCATAAAAACAAGAGCTATAATCGAAAGTTGAAGGACAAAAAAAGGAGTCATTTTTGCCAAAATTGATTCCAAGTTATTCAATTTGATCGAGAACCCACCACAATCTAATAGGAGTAGAATAAAAATCAATCCTTTCAAGGAAGATTTCTGGGAATTTGGGGAGGAGATTGGATTACCTCTACTTGCTTTCTGGAAGCTTTGACGGAAAAGCTCAAAAGGGGTCGAAGAAGCTTCGGAGAAAATGAAGAAGAAGAAGAAGTTTTGAAAGAAGAGTGAGTGAAGTTGAGAGTTGAGATAAAGGGAGGAGAAGCCGTTGCCATTGTTGTTTCTTCCTACCTGATTTTTTCTCTTTGATCGGATATGTAACCTTTTTTTTTTTAAAACGAATCAGCCTGCCAATTAAACCAAAATAAGGGGAAAAGAAAAGGGAATTGGCCCAAGTTTGGCCTAAAAAAAAGAGAGAAATTGGCCCAATAGCACATTTTTTCATCTTTATGACATTTGGTCACTTAGGGTAGACATTTCAACTAGTCAACTACAATACTATCCTTTACCAATTTGCCCTATTATCTTTCTCTAATTAGGCCACCTCCATCGGTCGTGTTTTCACGGTATCTGAGTCGTGAAAGTATTTGCTCAGACGAAAAGACTCGAGTCGATCAAGCTCGACGATCGAAAGTATTTCATTCGTTGGTTCCAACGGTGGTAGCTGCGAGAGAAAGAGTCATATTGTCCATTGCATGCATGAACATTGGGTTCCTTTTACATAGACTTCCAAAACTCGAATAGGCCAACCTCAATCATGCGTACCTAAATCAGAGCGCTTACTGATTTTGCCTTGCAAAAAATAATGATCCACTCTAGTATTTTTTTTCCACTTCTTGTTTTATATTATGACAACTAACTGACAATTTAATCCTGAGACGCGCGAAGGTATAGGTGCTAGCTTGAAGAATCCGTACTAGTTGCAATGTCTTTTTTGGAGGGTCTATATAGTAATTTCCATGTATTTTTGTCTTTCCTATGATTAGAAAACAAATCCTATTTGTTTTTATCACGTGTGAACAAAAATATATTATTTTATATTCGTTTGTGTCACGTGTGAATAAATATTTTATTTTAAATTTAGAGTTCTTACATGGAAACGTAATGTTTGACTAGTGCAATATTTAGAATAAAATCTTTTCAACTCAATTCTTTAGATCTCATACCTTTTTTTTGCACCTAGATCCCATAGTATAAAATAGTTTTTTCTTCTAGCATTTTGAAGTAGAAGCCTTTTTTCTAGAAAAAAAATTGTCTTTGATAACAAAAAAAAAAAAAAAAAATTTACTCTCTTAGTGTGGAACCAAAAAAATAGGGTAGAAAAACAATTTTCTTCTAAATGGTGTATGGGTTACTTGGTTAAACGCTTAGATATATTTGAGAAGATTTTGTTCACTATGTATAGAAAATATGTTTTCATTTTGAATAAGATAAGATATTAAAAAGATTTTGCATTTAGTTACTATGGCATTTGAAATATTGTTTTTACAATTTATAGTTGTTTGAATTTATACTTACTAATATAGGTAAAATTACTAAATTATATTTTTGACATCTTAACAATAATATTTAGTTACTATCTAGTTTGCACCCGATTTTTTTATTATTTTATGACACTGATATTGATACCTTTATATGTGAAAAGTTGAGATGCATATTTGAATATCCGTACGGATTATCATATGGTGTAATGGTGATGCATATGAATTACTCGATCTACGAAAATTCTCACAACTTGAAATCTTTTTTTCTTTTTTTGCAATTTTGACTACAACTTGAAATCTCAAACCTTGTTTACGAATTTATTCAGTAGATAAAAGTAACAACTTGATTCTAGCCACACAAAAGTCACAAAACATTAAAGAGAAATAGACCAGAAAAGGACTAGCTAGAAGAAAAAGACCAATGAAATATAACTAGAACCAAACAAGGATTTCATTATGTACAAAAGCATATGTAGGAGATGATAAGGCATGCATATATAGATGTAATTCATTGAGCAACAAGTTAAAACTTGAATCTTACTTAATCTACTCCATTCCATCCAAACCGAACTGCGAAACCAAACTAGTTCCAACAGGAATCATCAGGATGATCTTCATGGTAAGGAGGCTGATTGAGATCAAACCCTAATGACCTCTTAGCTTCATCTCGAGGACTATTCACCTCCATCTTTATATTCATATCTACAATTAAACTCTTCTTATCATCCATTCCACCATCACCTAAAACTTCATCTTTTTCTTTATCATCTTTGTAGCAACTCGGACTTCTTACCTCGGATTTGGGTGATTCCGTAGCTTTCTTTATCCCAGCCCAATAATCGCTTGAAGCGTAAGAGAGCATCATTAGAATGCAAGCAGCTTCTTGAACATCCTCGGGTACATCATCACTCATCATCATGGATCTACTCATCACATCCTCATCCTCATCATCATCATCAACATCATCATCATCACCCAAGTAGCTTAGATTGAACTTCTCCGGTGGAGGAGGAGGTCGTATCCCTTTCCAACTCCGGTCAGGATGTCTCCTCATATGTCCAAACAAAGAGTGCATTGTTTGAAACTCTTTTCCACAAAGACAACACCTAATCTTACCTTCCACGTCAGCCCTAATCAGATCTATCTCTTTCTCCTTCTCTTTCTTCAACAAACCAATCTTTCTCTTCTTCTTCTTGATCCTCATCCTCGTCTTCTTCATCTTTCCTTTGATGTTGTACTCAGTGGAGTGGATCCTCACGTGACCACCATAAGCCTTACCAGAGCTAAACTGCTTCTCACAAATCACACAAAAGTGCTTCCTCAGCGGCTGAGGAGACTCATCTTCATCTTCACTTCTTTCTTCCGGTAACTTCACCTTCACCGGGAGTTTCGTCCGGTGAAACTCTTCAGATTCCGATGAAGAAGAAGAATCATCATCCTCATAAAGGTCTCTTGTTCTCTTCATGATCTTCTTTACTCTTTTACTTCTATGGAGAAGAAAGTGATGTTATTTACTTTTTTTTTTTTTTTTTGGTTGAGAGTATTAAGAAATTTTATTTACTTGGATTTGGCTTATGGAAACAATAAAATCTGAGCGAGATTCACGCAAAGATTTTATGACTAATGGTATTCTTTCTCTCTTCTATGTATGACTATGAGGAGAGTAGGGATTTGTAGAGATTGTGAAGCCTAATTAATTGTGATTAGCCAAAGCCCAAAAGGAGAGAGAGAAGAGGTCGGATAAGAAGATTTCACCGTTTTCATTTGAATTTATCTTTAAACCCCATATTAAGTAAAATAACTATTTACCTTTTTTGGATGTCAGATTTATTAATGAATAATGACCAAAATGTTTTCCTTATTCTTAGTCATCCTTCACTTTTTTATTTATTTATTTATAAAATGGATAATATAATGAGCAATACTTGAGTTCACCTCTTTTATTTTAACCAATCAAAATTTGCCACATAATAAAAAAATTAAACTCATTTAATTATTAAATATAATCTCTAACCATTCTTTATTAAACCCAAACCGATATATAATCTCGTTTAATTACAAAATCTAAACACTAATTCTCCTTTGTAAATCCAAACCGCCATTTAAACTCGTTTAATCGTAAAAAATCTAAACTCTAATCATACTTTCTAAACCCAAACCGATATTTAACCTCGTTTAATCATAAAATCTAAACCCTAATTGTACTTTCTAAACCCAAACCGATATTTAACCTCGTTTAATTGTAAAATCTAAATCTTTTTATAAACCCAAACCGATATTTAACCTCGTTTAATCATAAAATCTAAACCATAACCCTTTCTAGTAAACCCAAACCGATACATAATTTTGTTTTAGTGGCAATTTAGATTTTCTAATTATATAAATTTTTTTAAATTATTATTAAGTGGCAAATTCTGATTGGTTAAAATAAAGGGGGTGAATATAAGGATTCACCCCTAGAGGTGAACCCAAGTATTTTTCTAATAAATGATTTAGATTTAAACGATACAAATTTTGAGAACACGGTTTTAATACAACAAATTTACTTTGTTACAAATAGAACTGGGCTAGTATCAAATAGTTCTAATATTAGTTGAGTACACTCTTACCAAAAAAAAAAAAAATATTAGTTGAGTACACGAACTATATAGTGGTGTGTTTTATTTTTATATAGCATGTATGAATATTTTTATATCCCACAAAAGAAATCCCCAACTATATATTTAAAATATATTTTAAAGAATATACACAAAAAATATATATATATATATATATATATATATATATATATATATATATGTAGCACCAAAAAATATTTACCAACCCTTGCAACACATTCAAATGCAGCAATTGTTTAACATTTGTTTTGGTAAAACAAGAGTTAAAGATATTTCTAGTTATATTAACCTCCTTTGATTCCAAATTGTATCACATACACATATATACAGTAAAACCTCTATAAATTAATAATGTTGGGACTGCAAAATTCTATTAGTTTATAGAGATACTAATTTATCGATAAAATAATATTTTTTTAATTTATAGAGAGATTGTCCTAATTTTGCAACCTTTTATGAAAATATAAAATTTCCTTAATATCTTTCTAGAACCAATTACAAGTAAAAAATAATTATCATGTCTACAAAACAACACCAAAAGTTATTGATACCGTAAACATATTAGAATTAAATTCAAATAAGAAGTAATGCAAATTTATGCAAAAAAAAAACAATACTAGAATTATATTTCATTGACGTTTCTTACATAATATATATATATATATATATATATATATATATATATATATATACAATTATTAATTTATGATACTGATGTGACCATATGTTTATATTGGATTTTCAAAAAAATTATTATCTTATTAATTTATCGATTTGTGTCACTTTTTACCCTGGTCCCAACTCGGGACTAGAAAAATTTATTAATTTATAGAAGTTATAAATTTATCGAGTATTAATTTATAGGTTTTACTGTACACTACAAGCAGGGTGCCAAGTTTTTTTTTCGCAGTTTTTAATATCAAATGTTAATATTTAACTTTAAATTAATATAGATATAGTCAAATATTGTCAAGATATTTTGACATATTTTCGGAAACTGAATATTTGAAACTTTCCAAACTAATATCGTTAATAATTACTTGTTATTTTGCTAAACTTATATTTTGATCTTAGAGTTAGTGAACATTCCCTTGTCTGAAACAATAGAACAAAGATCAAAAACGACTACAGGAAATGCAGTCAACAAAGCAAGTTCAGAATCTGAAATGACAAATTTTTTTTTTTCATTTTCTCAAGAATCTTGCAAACATTTCACACAGAAAACAATATATTGTTGACTGAAACAACAATGAATAAGAAACTTTATATACCAAAACATATTAAATAGTTTTAAGAAAACAAAGAGCATAATAAATAGTTTAATACTGTAGTGAATAGAATAAGATGATTTTTTTTTTACAACAAAATAAGTTCATCTATTCAAGATAGAAACGAACGATTTTCTTCTCAAAAAAACTAGTCCGGAGTTGTGGAGTTTATATAAGAGAAGATAGAACCATCATGCTTTTTTTAGCAAAACAATCAGTACGGTGTTGTTACATTGTAGATTGTAAATGTAAATTTTCAATATATATTCTTTGAAAACTAACATTTTTTTATAGTTTGAAAGGAAAAATTAATTAGTTTGACCAAGTTCTATTCACATTCGATTGAATTGATTTAGTTTCTCATATCACGCTATTTGCCTATTGTTTACGTTGTATACTTTTAGTCATTGACTAATTGCTTCTAAACTTTTGACGTCTAAATTCGTAGATGGAAACAAATAATAAAAATCAAAACTAATTTGATCTCTAAAGCCGAAACTTAAACAAGAGAAGATCTAATATAAATATTTAACAACTAATAACTATGAATATAGAGTTTATTTTTTTTGATTAGGAGGTTCAAGATACGTGGATTCGTACATTACTCAAGACCATATAATTGATCCAGTGTTTTGAAAACTGGACCGGACCAGCCAATCTGACCGGTTCAACTGGAAATCTCCCATATAGCGAGTTTGGGTTGATTCAAAAACCGGATTTAAGTTGAACCGTTAAAACCGGTCAAAAACCGCCAAAACCGGTGACCAGCTTTAAAGTCAAAACTGGTCCACAAAATTTGAAATTTCTACTATAGTTTTGTTTTAAATTAGTATAAAATATTAATTTATATGAAATTTATAAACTAAATTCACTAAATGATTTTTAAAAAATACTTATTTAACTAATAAATATTTAGTATTTTCTAATTTTAACTAGTAAATGTAAAGTAAGTGCTAACATGGTGGAGACCATTTCATCACAGACAAAATTTGATAATTATTTTGAAAGCCTTACAATTAGGGTGGACATTTTAACCGAACCAAACCAAACCAAACTAAACCAAACCAAGCCAAACCAACATAATTCAAACCAACCCAAACCAAACCAAACTTACACCAATCAAAATTGATAAACTCCTAAAACATATACAAAAGTCAGTTCATGATTCAAAAAAGATGAAAATAAACAAAATACATCTTCTGTATAAAGGGAACAAGCACAAATAAGTAGGTAACAAACACCCAAGATTTGAGGATATATCCGAATTTTGGTATTTCCGAGATCATTGAAATGGATAAAAAGAAAATATACTAGAATAAAAAATTTAAAAATATGAATAAATATCTGGATACATAAGTTCCTATAGCTGAACAAAGATGCTTGGCTATAAAAATCGAAACTGTTTGACCAAAAGAAAAAAAAAAATCGAAATTAATCGCTAGTTCTTTTTGGTAGCAAGAGTACTGATAAATGTAAAAACATGATTAATATACTTAATTCAATGAAAGATAGAGATCAGACAAGAAAAATATCCTTTATGCATTATACCTTCCAAAGATACCTCTTCTACATGGTGTTATAAGTATCATCATCGAGAAGTTCTCTTATCCAATCGTCATCATTTGTTGTGTTTCTCTCAACTGAAGAAGTTGAACCAACAAAACCCAAATCTGTTTCAAAATTGAAGTTTTTTCATGCATAAAGATTTGAGGAAACTTCTTGAATTGAATACACAAACAATGAAGTGAATGAAAGTTTACCAATTGTGTTTGCAATGGGTGGTGTAACCTCGGTATGGCTAAGTAGAGAGGACGGAAAGGGTGGGAGCTCCGAGCTGGTATCGGTCTTCGGTATTTCTCCTACTGAACCATAAACAAGTGATTCCAACAATTCATCATAGAATGATGATGGGAAATCTGTTGGTGAATGGCCTATAGGGGGCTGAACCAAAGTGTTGTGTGACTCAAGATTCATCATTGGGTTATATTGTTCTGCTCCAAAACTGCTAGGCTCTTCATGAGCATTAAATCCTTGGAATGAAGGGAGCTCCAAGTTCCCAACCCCGTGAATGAGAGGCATAGGAGGAGAAGAACATGTAGCATTGCCAAACAAATGGCTGTCAGGTAATTGTTCTTGAGTGCTATCCACGGAAAGATAATTCAAGAGGTTAGGGTTTTGCTCGTTCATGACATACCCATTTGTGAAAGGAAATGTGGTTTCTGGTTCCCTAGGCTGAACATTGGCAAGCATTGACTGGTAGTATGGAGAACATTGATTGAGTGGCAAGTTATTGAGTGCCGCGTCAGGTTTCTCGACGTTATCTACCATCAACAAGTCTTGAGCATCCAATAAATCAATCTTTAGACCATTTCGTAATGCTGTACTTATCGCCTGCTTTCGAACTTTATCAGGGTAAACTGGTAAACCAAGTCGTTTCAATTTCTTACGTCTTACGTTCCAAAAATTCTTTATCTCATTATCTGTTCGACCAGGCAACTAAAAGAAACAAAAGTTTATATCAAACAGTAAAAGAAGATGAAAATGTAGAGTGTGAAAAAAGGAAAGAGAGTTACATACTTCTTTAGACATTTGTGCCCATTTGTTCCCCAAAACAGCTTGGAGTTCAATAACACGTTGCTCTTCCTCCTCCGTAAAGGGGCCTCTTTTCAAGCCTGGCCTTAGATAATTCAGCCAACGAAAACGACAACTTTTAGCAGTATGAGAAAGGCCCGTGTGTTTTGGAACATCAGTCCAAGTTACATCACCATGTTGATTAACATAATCTTTCAAAAGTTTGTCTTCTTCTTGTGTCCATATAGTATAATTTTTCTTCATTGTTAGTAAATCATCCGATTGATCCTGAATCATGGCGAATTTTACCCATCATGAGTGAGTTATATATATATAAGTATGCATGAGTATAAGAATTCTTTCTAGAAATCAAAACCAACATAATTTGTAATTTACAAAAATGGAGAAACTAAACTCTTTTTTGTGCAACAATTCATCGATACATATAAAACACAGCCAATTAATACTCACATCAATAGAAAAGATTTTTTTTTTAATCACAAATTTGGAGCATATAGAGAGACCACTAGCAAAAAATTGTTCATCTAAAAATGAACTTTAATCAGTTTTTATTTGTATATTCAGGCCTGGAATTTTTCAAATTTGGTTACAGCAAAACATAAAATATTTTGGCTAATAGATAAGATTTTTCTCCTCACTATTGGTGAGAACCAAATATTATTTCAGACCAGATCAGTCTCGTTAATATGTTAAGAGGTTCAATGGTGGGAAATATATTTTGTTGATGAAACAACCAAAGAATTCGGATATAATTTTACGATTGATATTGATTGGACAATTCCAAAATTAATTCGATAAACAGAAGAAAAAAGTATTAGATAATGCTAGATTGGATTTTCGGCACTAACCTGGTGTTATACCCGATCTTAAGAAGCTGATTTTGTGGACGATTCGCCGAATAATGGAGAAGAGAAAAAACAGAGACAAAGAGAGTAAATTTCAAACTACTTTACTGACGGGACCCCTAAAGCCCGAAATCAACCTTAGATAAACAAAGGTCCATAAAGGACGACCACACATAAAGATAGGACTAACTTTTTTTTTACACCACATAAAGATAAATTTTTAAAGTGAATTACTTAACTATTAATCAAATATTTTCTTCCAACTAGAGTATTCTTCAAAAGGTGAACTTTTTTTTTCACTTAACCATTTCTTAGAATGCTCTTATTCCCAAACTCTTTGGCAGTTTTCCTTAAAATTCTCACCTTTGACATAGACTCATAAGTGGTCCCAAAATCTAGAAGTTGTTTCAACTGAATAAATAACTTTGGATCGACTCTTTTAACCGCATGAGGAATGACCATGATCATGTAATTGGTGTAGGTTGTCATTTTAACTTTTCATACAATACTGAAGGGGAATTTATACTTTATAAGTCGTCGACATAGTTAAGTTAAGTTGTGTAATATGTAACACCAACATTACTAGAAACAACTTCAAACCATAAAAAAAGTGGTAATGTGTGCCAAGACCTCATTACGATTGGACAACATTAAGAGAATTACAAAAAGAAACACCTCTTAGCCATTAGATTTTGATGGTAAGGGAAAAGTTTGAACAAATCTAATACAATGCTACTAGTTAAAGTAATGAAAATCTCAATCTTAAATTTTTACAAAGACTTTTAAAGATCACTATTATAGATATTCTACAATGTAAGAATTTTACTATATTCTCCATTTACTTGCTATGTATGGAGAAGGATTATATTAACATGAGATATAAGTTAAAAGTAGAATTCTTAAATGGGTAAACTCATGAAATTTCATATAGGTATAGAAAAACACTTGGTTACCTTACTATGTTTCTCGACCTACAAAATATAAAGGTCAATTTATTTCCAGCATTTAATGGTAAATCATTAATAAATATGTTTGCAAGCACTTTTTATTTAAAAATGCTTGGTGTTCTCATAGAGTCAGCATATATCTCCATAACCTAAATTCCAATATAATTAATCAAGGGCATCTCACTGCTTCAACATCCAACGCTTTACCGGTGTTGTGAGAGGGATCCCTATAGCTCGTGTGCTCTCTTCTCGTTATTGGGGTTAGTGTTACGAGTAAATTTTACTTTTAAGAGTTTTACCCTAAACAATAACTGTAAATGCACTGGTAAATACATTAGTATTTAGAGATCTAATCCATATAGACAAAAAAAACATAAAATATTTGCAAAGATTTAAACTAAAGTAGAACAACAGGAAGTTACAATTATTCAGAGTGTTTTGCATAAATAAATAATTAAATAATATAATATATAATAATATAAAAATAGAGTTTCAGAGAATTCATCAGAGAATATATGAAACACATATAAATTCGATTATGATTCTAAACTATCTTTGAAATCGGACTTCTGATTTGAATTACCTTATAGGTTTTATTAGTGAACACTCCTATGAAGGGACTATGGTTTCATAAACCTTGGTTAAGCTTGGTTCCAAGTAATCCAATCACGCATTAAGAATATAATCCAATAAATTCACAAAACCCTATGATTTACACGTTTTGATTATGTTAGTCAAAGATGGTCTGCCTATCTAATAATAGATCAATCAGGTTCAACACCATGGTTAGGCTTGAAGAATTAGATCATGGACAATATGTGAATTGGCCTAATTCATCTAAGGCTTTAAGAACAAATAAGGATTGAAGATAATTAGAGATCATAATAGAGAAATACACTTAGATCTAACACACAATCAATCTCTTTGAGATTCCAACCGATCGATAAAAGTGCAAGTCGATCGGTACCGATCGGTGAAGTGCAATATCGATCGGTAAAACTCCATGATAGGACTACTCACACACGACCAAGGTACGTGTGATCATTGTAGAAAAGAGTTCACAAGTTCTAAAGGAGATCTACCAAAGAAATCTAAATTCTAAATCTTAAACAATAAAGAAAAGATTTTAGAAAGGGAGAACACCTTAGAACTCTAAATTTTCCAAAAGTAAAGCGTATCTCTACGACTACTGAATACAAGAGTATATATAGGGACTAATGCGTGTATTATTTTTCTTCAGTCTTTTATCTCAAAAGACACGACTACTTGAAGTGCACAGTTAATCAGATTTTAGTATTTAAAGATCGATCCCACTGAGAATATTAAGTACGTTACGAATTTACTAGAGAAGAAATATGTCTAAGACAAATCAAAAGAGAAGTTTTGGTTTAGGGGTTTGTAATTAACGAAATCGGAAAACTAAAGCTAGATAAACGACTAAAAGATATCAATAAACGAGATGTTTGGCTTCAAGGATTTCTCAGGGTGTCATGGATCGGGTTATTCTAGGATTTTAACAATGGATTACCAATGCTATTAAACGGTTTATGATCTAGAAAACACTTATGTAAAATCAACCTACTGCTGATAGATCGACTATCTAAGCTTATCAACTCTGTTACTAAACTATCACATGCAACGACGAGATTAAGCCAGCATGATTAACGAGTTCGATTATAGTTCGTAAAGTCCTATAACTCAACTATCGCAGGTTATAATACGATATTCACATTTACGCTAGTGAACGCGGGTTTACACACTTCTGATGCATAAAACCACCAAAGATCAATCGCTAGTTAGTTATTCAAGCAATATGCATTAAGATTAAACCTAGAACGAAGAAATAATATCACCTAAAATAAATCTAACAAACCCTAAAAAACCGATCCACTAATCCCCATCGAAACCCTTATACCCAACGATTAAACTACTCACACATATTCATGGACAACAACTTTATATGAATCAGATATTACATAAAAGAGTATGAGTATAGAAAAGGGTTTAGAGATCTTCTCTGGAATACAAAGTAGATGAATCTTCTTCCTTAAACAAGTAGAGAATAGAGAAAATAGAAGGGAAAGTGTTGGTGGCAACTCCGGCGGTGAACGACGACAATGAAAGATATCTGAGAGCTTGGATCGGAGATGGAGGCTTCTCTCCCTTGGAGGCTGAGAAATATTAGAGGGGGCACGTAGGGCAAACGAGGCACCCTAGGTTTAGGGTTTAGAACATGTATTTATAGGCTCCAACTAAGGTTAGGGATAAAATCATCATTTCCTATTGATTAAGTTAAGCGTAGGGCGAGATTCTGGACCGGCCACAAGAGTGAGTGATTGGTGGTGAGTGTAGAGGACAGCCCGGGCACGGGCTTGATGGCCGGTGTGGTCATCAGGCTCGTGAACGGTTGCGTAGTGTATGACCGGTCTAGACATGTCTTCACTCTTTTGGGCAACTTCCTAAAGACTAAATGGATTATTTCGATTCCACTTCGAGGTGAATCTTGACTCTTCTAGCTTTCCACAACCATCAATATCTCCGGATTTGGTGATCGGGAAGAACTTTAACGGATGCCGTACTTCTGAGGTACATAAACTTCCTTGAAACAGGTTTTGCCCGACTTTTACTCCTTTTTGCTTGAAAACTCATAATTCTTCCTTGAAGCATAAATACTTGAGTAGCTCCTCTTTCGTCTTGAAATCACACCAACTACTTCCTAAAACGTAAGAAAACAATAGATAAAACGGGCGAAAATTCCATGTTATCAACTCCCCCACACTTAGTCATTGCTTGTCCTCAAGCAAACAAGAAAGCAAATCCAGTGGAGAGGTTTGAAAATTGCGGGAACTCTCTTGTGATCAGAGACCATACTCCAAAAGATGAAATGCGGACACATATAGACAAAGACATCACGTTTGAACATTCTCACTATAGACTCACGACCTTCACAATCCTGGTCCATTCATCTCAAACCTACAAGAGAACTCTGAAATCACGTCAATTAACTCTTTACATTCATTAAAAAGTGGTGTGAGCTTTCTCATTAGGAGGTATCATTAAGAGTAGACGGCGCTTAGTATGAAAGGGGATTTTTGGTGTCTGGTGGTGGAGTAAAAGTGTTTAGGGTTTACCGAATAATCTCGAGAATGCATGATATATTGCAAAACCGCAAGAGAGAAGAGATCTGATGACGTCCACAATTTCCAACCACTTCGTGTAACACTTTCTTCTCCTTTACCTCTTTTTCTTCTTGATTCCCCCAGACTTAGGCTTTTCTGTAGGCATCTCTGTGAATGATTTCATCTCTTCTCTAAATGATCCATGTCTTTCCTTGGGACTTCTTTATGCTATGAGACTTTCTTTTGTAATCGTTTCCTTTCCTTTCGATTTTCTTTTTCTTTTCTTTTCTCACTCTTTTTTTTTATGAAAGGAGAACCAATACTCTTTATAAACATAAGTCTTATAAGCATGAAATAATTACCTTTTGTTAGTCGAATCCCAAGGAAGAATAAGATCTAGACCACATCGTCACAATCTCTTCTTAGTTTTCGAATCCTCCATCTTCATGGCGGGAAATTGTGTCGTTCCGTTCTCTCTAATGTTTTTACACGTATTTGCTAAAATGAGGAAGGAAAAACAGAATGCATGAGGTCTTAAAAGAGGATAGGGTTTAAGGGTAAGAACCACTAAAAGTGAGTGGCCATTCAGGATTAGCAGAGTGTGGTAAAAAATGATAAAAAAAGTCATGAATGTATATGCTCGTTTCCCTAATCTTAAACCTCTTCATGAGAAAGAATTAAGGTCATGTTAAACCGTCCAATAAAATAGAGTTAACATCAGATCAAACAAAATCTCTACGGTTGAAATTTCAAGAGAAATATCCCGTTGAGAATTTCTAGGTATTGTCCGCTCTTAGCGAATCCTGCAAAACCTGTCACTTAGAAAATGAGTTAGAACATATGAACGGTCGAATTTCATCATATGATAAGCTCATCAGTCCCCACTAATTTTGACTCAATAAAACTTTTGACTTTATAAAACATATTGACGTAAAAACTGGAAAAAGGTCTTAGGTCAACAAAGTAAAGAGTAGCATTAGTACGAATCTCCCCAGACTTAAATCACACCGTCCTCGATGGAAAAAGGGTAAGAGAATATGAATAAAAAGAAAGATAGGGTTAAGAAGAATGTCACCTTGGTGTGGTGACTATCCATTGGATCTTTCTTGGTATTGCTTGTATTCTTTATAGCTCGGCTAAGCTAATCGAATTCGATGATATAAATATTTCTAAAGATTATATGCATTTTTCCTAAGACAAAAACCTAAAAGCATCAATAGTTTTAATAAATAAAAATAGAAAACTTACCTTAGATAGGCCATGGGGCTGGATTCTTCTCAATTAGGCGACCAGTCATAGTTCTAATGACCGGTCGGGAGGAAACATTGGTTTTGACCGGGTCGAAGATCGCGGGTCATGGGTTAGTCGCGGATCGTCACACGGTACAATCACGGGACGGGTAATGCCCAATATTGGGTCGTGT